ATTCTTTTACAAAGATGTACAGATAAATAAATAATGCTTTAAAATATTTTAATTAAAATTTCTAATATACATATATGTACTTAAATATTTGTCCAAAGAATATTAGTAAACTTCTCTGAAAGAAAAAGCTTTTTTATCCAAAAGCTTAAAGACTACTGTCATCTTTCATTTCACGAATCAATGTACAAAAGATCATACAAAAAATAGAAATATAAAATGATATTATTTTATCGAAGTCATCTTTCATTACTGTAAATATATCATAAGTAAATCCCAACATTTATTTATGGCGATAGAAAAATAGCGATTGATGTAAATTCTTTTTCGCAAACTCATAGCATTGGAAATCGAACTCGCCAAAATTATGCGGGCTTCAATCCTTGGCATAAAAGCTCTCTCCCCCCCCCTCTCTCTCTCTCTCTCTCTCTCTCTCTCTCTCTCATTACAATGACCTGAATGCATTTCGAACTCGCGATCTCCTCGATTTCCGCGTTTTCATTTTCGTACAAAGAGCGCAGATGCAGGCAGACGCGAACCACCCCTACATACCACTAGAACCAAGTCGCGCCCTGAACAGGCAGCACGAGCGTCATGGCGGCGAGTTGAAATATCGATCGTGGACCAGTGGGATGCTGGCCGCCCGACGTTTCGCCGATCACGCGCTACTATTCAGTACACTAAGTGTTTTGTTATCCTGCCTTCTTGGCTTTTTTTATACCTCTTGTTTGTAAAATTACTGCCAAGGTACTAAAGGAGAGCCTATCGCAGAGAGTACTCGCGAGTGTTTTACGTTTATACGCATTTGTAAACAGCGCCGAAAATGCGGACAACAGTGCTCACAGTTTTGCTCATGTTCGGTATCGCTTACGGTAAGCTCGCTCGACTATTAACGATCTATTGAGAAAATAAATAGTCATGAATAAAAAACAATCACTTGTTTGTTTCGTTAATTGTAGCAGTGATTATTAAAGTGACATAATATAAGACACAATGTGGGAAAATTCTTCCTACTTTTTTATTTATATATATATACAATATTATTATATAAAATTTTATCACTAAGAAAGAAATCTGCGTGTTTAGATATACATTTTAAAATTATACTTTTAAAATTATTATTTTAAAAAATATAATTTTTAATGCACACAAGCATAAATTTTAAAACCGATTATTTTAGAGGAAATATTCTAAAATTCTTATTTCTTTAATAACATGTTAATTCTACTATAAAAACTTCGGAGTGTATTAACTATAATTATTTCTTACAGTGACATTCTATTGTCATTTCATTCTTTTTCTGTTTTTTTTTATTGTTATATGCTTTTAGATTATATATACTTCTATTTTTTTTTTTATTTTTATACGTAATATAAACAAAATTTTAGAACAAACAGCTTGCTCAATTTATAAATAACATTCTATGTACTGATTTATGTAATAATATTGTAATAATATTGTTTTAAACACGTATGATTAAAATCAATTTTTTTATAATTTTGCAATAAATTAAGCGATTATATTAATCACCAAAATAACATATAAATACATAAATACATTTCACATTACTTCGCAATAGAATATAGTTATAGAACAATCTGCAGTTTATTTCTGGCATAGTAATATAAACCTAAGATTCATTTACGTGTACGATTTACATAGATAACTCGATATCAAATTTTATTTTTTATGAAATTACAATACAGTTTATTATTAATTTAATTTATTTTTCTAAAATACAAATATTTCAAAAAAATGAAAAAAATAAATATTAAATATTAAAACGATTCATTAAAATATCAATAAATATCAATATATATTCTTTTAAGCAGGAAACGTTTTTGAAGCGAATCCTGATACGAAGAGGCTCTACGACGATTTATTGTCCAATTATAACAGATTGATACGTCCAGTTGTTAATAATACAGAAACATTAACAGTTTGGTTGGGATTGAAGCTATCACAATTGATAGAAATGGTATACAAATTGATATAAATGTTATTCTAATATTTTGAAACTTAACATTAAATTTTGTTTATAATTTTGTTCTCTTTATTTTTTATATTATATTTTATATAAAATTATATATTATATGTAACATTCTATTGTATTTAAAGAATTTATGAAAGTTGAACTAATGCTAATTTTTTTTTACAGAATCTAAAGAACCAAGTGATGACAACCAACGTCTGGGTAGAGCAGGTCAGTTATGTATTAGTTCGTTTCACTTTTCTTCGCAGTAGTACCGAGCGTTGTAGTCAGACAATTAATAAACTGATCTCTATTCGTTTCTTGCAGAAATGGTTTGATTATAAATTACAGTGGGATCCACTAGAATATGGTGGTATAGATATGTTATATGTACCTTCCGAGAACATATGGCTTCCGGATATCGTTCTATACAACAAGTAAATTACAAAAGATTTGTTACAAATTACAATCGAATAAAAATAAATAAAATCTTTATGCCACAAGATTTTTGCAAATAAAAGTAGACAAATTTATTTTTCGAAATCATCGAAATCCTATGAAAATTAGAGAAAATATATATTTGATATGTTAAAATATGAGGTGCTGTAGAAAGCATTTTTCGAATTAATCTTTTTCTTCCTTTTTGTACAGCGCAGATGGAAATTATGAAGTAACATTAATGACAAAGGCTACTTTGAAATCCACTGGTGAGGTATACTGGAGACCGCCAGCTATTTATAAATCGTCTTGTGAGATCAATGTGGAATATTTTCCGTTTGATGAGCAATCATGTATTATGAAATTTGGTTCATGGACTTACAATGGCGCTCAGGTTATAACAATGTATACTTATATATACAAACAATATAAAATATGCCAGAACAACTGAATTTCTTTAACCAAAGATTGTTTGACCAATCTTTATTTATCTAAGAGCAACTCTTCTTTAATGAAAATATAATATTCCGAATATGAATTTCCAATTAATTATTGATATTTGATAGAAACTTTTTTATGAAGCAAACTTTATTGGAATAAAATAACAAAACATATTCTTTTAAATAAAAGAACTTTTACTTTATTAAAATTAAAATTAAATACAGCTAATACAACAACAAAAATTTAAACATTGCAAAGTATAAAACAACTTAAAATTAATTAAAATTCTAAATAAAAATTTCTATTAAAAAAGTATTATAGTCTTATCTTAAATTTGTTTTTAAAGTATCTTTTAATTATGATTTATTTTTGTTAAAAATTTAAATAGATAATTAATATGTAGATTTATAATACTAATTTCAATTTTATTTCTGTTTATAATTTCAAATTTTGTTTTTATAATGTAGAATATTAAGGTAACATTGTTAATCATTTGCAATCTTTTCTTATAGCTTTAAATTATGTAACTTTAATCTGACATAGCTTGAAAATGTATTTTTTTTTGCAGGTAGATCTGAAGCATATGAAGCAGGAGTCTGGTAGCAATTTTGTTGCGATCGGTATAGATCTCACTGATTTTTATCTATCAGTGGAATGGGATATCTTAGAAGTTCCAGCAACACGTAACGAAGAATATTATCCATGCTGTACGGAACCTTATTCTGGTAAGATTTCATAAGATTTTAAACTTTATTTTCAGAAGAAAAAATAATTGTGCTTGCTCATTCAGGCTATTTTTTATTAATGATACAATTTTAAATTATAAATAATATTGTCTCGAAGGTAATTTAATTTAAATTATTGTAATTATTATTTAATTTCAGATATCACATTCAATATTACGATGAGAAGAAAAACACTATTTTATACTGTCAATCTTATTATCCCCTGTGTCGGTATTACATTTTTGACGGTGCTGGTTTTTTATCTGCCCAGCGATTCCGGAGAAAAAGTAGGTAACATTATTTGAGCAGCCGTTAAAATTTGTACATAGAATTTATAAATTTTATCATAGAAAATTTCTTTACATTCGTAATATTGTTAAAAATTTCGATCCATACTAAATACGAAAAACCTCAATGAAATAAAAATAATAACAAATGCATCAATATAGAAATGATTTTATTATATTATTATATCTTAACCATCGAAAATGTATTTATTATTGCTTCGCAGATATCATTATGCTCTTCCATTCTCCTCTCATTGACGGTGTTCTTCTTGCTCTTAGCAGAGATTATTCCGCCAACATCGTTAGCTATACCTTTGCTCGGGAAATACTTATTGTTCACCATGATTTTAGTTACTTTGTCCATTTGGATCACTGTCTGCGTTTTAAATGTACACTTTCGGTAGGTCGTGATGTATTTTACATATTTTAGAAACATCATTTGATTTCGAATTCTGTCTCTTAAATATAAATCTATAACATGATCCATTCAAAATAAATGTCTCGCAAGTATCTTAGATAAATCTATTTGTAAATGTGATTAAGAAAATTGAAAAATAAGATGTATTTAATTATTAAGAATTAATATACTTCAGTTTGGGATAAAAATTTTATTTAAAAAAAAATAATTTTAATAAAATATATGATTTTTTTTAATTTTTTAATCAAAATTAAGTTTTTTAATCCGAATTTACAGTTTGACGATTTTACTGTTGAAAGAATAATTGCGCAAATTGACATTCATTAATTATAATCCTTATAATGAATAAAATGTGATATCGAATAATTTCTTTCATAGATCTCCTTCTACACATAATATGTCGCCATGGGTAAGACAATTGTTTCTGAATTGGATGCCGAGAGTATTGATGATGCGTCGCACACCATATTCTACACCAGAATACGATGACACTTACATAGATAACGCATACACTAATGAAATAGATTACAGGTAATATCAACATTTTATTAAAGATACTTATTTATCCTTTAACATCTAGAATTTGTTCCTAACAGTGTAAATGACTATCCTTTGGAACTAAAGGGAAGCCCAGATGCATTCGAAAGTGTTACTTCAACATACAAAAGTATTAGAGATGATGATGCACGACATGTACCGCACGCATCAGGTATTTCCTTGTCAGAATTTTTTTTTCTTTAATTTCTTTAATTCTTGAGCATATTCTCTCATAGCATTTATACTGATATTTTTATAAGATAATTTTTCGAAATAAAAAATCTTATTTATAAGAATTTAATTCATTTACATAAGTGTATTACTACAATATATGTATTTATAAAAATGAATACATGTATTATCAACATATATCTGCATTAATAGAAATATAATAATTTCAAACATCATAAATTTATTGTGCATACTGTTGAATTGAAAAGAAAAAAAAAAAACATTTTTAATTAACTGTTTTTTTAAATAATATTTTAATATGAAGTAAATTAAACTTAAAATAAATTAAGATTAATATTTTATAAAACATGTGTATTGACTGAGTATTATTTCAGTTACTGACAGCGAAAATACAATACCAAAACATTTATCTCCAGATGTCATAGCAGCTCTCAAAGGTGTGCGTTTTATTGCTCAACATATAAAGGATGCAGATAAAGATAACGAGGTAAATTTTCCAATACCTGCTTTTCTACATATATTTTTCTATATATTTTCTTGTAATATAATCATTATTTGTCAAGTATTATCTTAACGATATTAAATTTTATCACTTATGATAGAAACGTTCATCCATAGGTTATAGAAGATTGGAAATTCGTAGCTATGGTTTTGGACAGATTCTTTCTTTGGATATTTACGGGCTTGTGTATCGTTGGCACACTATATATAATAGGTCAAGCACCTAGTTTGTACGATACGCGCATACCTGTGGACCAACAACTTTCTAGTATATCATTGCGCAAACATATGCAGCTACCAACAAACACGACTTTTGATGATCAAGTACCATAAAGTGATTTATGTGTAAAGAGTAATCACATGTTATGTCGTGCGTATTCCATTAAGATACGTTCGACATCTTCTTTCTACTCGCAAAAAGTTATCTATACTTTTCCACATGATTCATTCACGAAAACTATTTTTCAATTTCTTTAAATACTTTATTTAAGTAAACATGATTGTTGTAATACATAATAATTGCGACTTTTTTTGCGCATTATATATCAAAGTAGATTAATTTTTTTCGAATATTAAAGGAGTACGTGCAAAACTATGAGTTTTGAAATTGGTGAAATTGACTTAAACTTAATATTATAATTTCAAGTTCACTGATCAAAAGTTTTCTTAGGAAAATCATAAAAAATGGACAGATTGTGCTGTAGCAGCATATAAAAATTGCTTTTAGTTGTTTAAAAAAAAATTGTAGTTTGATAGTTATGATATTTGGGAACAGGTATGCTAGTATGCGTGCTCTAGATTCCAACTTATATCCTTTTTTTTTGGAACTTATATCCTAACAAAGACGGATATGGTTGTGTGTGCGAACGCAAGATCCACGCCTGAGGAATATGGGTCCTGAGAAGGTCCGCTCGACAGCGACGGTTGCTTGCAACGCCTGTGCCAGGGATCAAATCACCTCCGTCCTTCTTGAATATGATCGTTGGTGTTGCTCGGACCGTTCCAATTGATCCGGTTGATTTACATTGCTCTGTGTTGTTCAAGTTGAAGGTGATGCGATCCCGTGGTATCCGGGAACCGTTAATCTCTGCTAACCAGTAGTGATTCGTGCCGGCCAAAATATATGATCCAATTCGCAAACAAATGTCGAACCACTGTTCAGCGGTGATGTCGGAATTGCTTCTAGCTATCTTGTGAATCTGTCTATTATTGTTAGGCAGTATCTTTTTCCTTTTGAGCAAGGAAGGGGTCCCAAAATGTCCAAATGTATATATGCTCGAAGCATCTTGACGGCAACTAAAAGTTTTCTATTGGTGCGGCGTTGTGTCTGGACTTTAGCTTTTTGACATTGAATGCAAGTTCGTGCCCATGTCTGGCAGTCTTTTTTTTATCTGCGGCCAGACGTATCTCTGTGAGATTAACTTAGCTGTGGCTTTGGTTCCTGGATGTCACAATCCGTGTAAGTTTTGGAAGACCTGCCTTCGGAATTATTCCGTAAGGGCGTGATATTGATGTATTTCTATTGCAATACGGTTTTAAGTTGGTACCTGGTATCTGTATCTTCGTGAGTTTTATTATCTTCTCGTCTTCCAACAGTTTCTTGAGTTCTTCGTCAACGTTCAGCTCTTCGAAACTCATGGCTGAGTGAACTGCTTCCACTCGTCCACTACCGTCTTTCCCTGAGATGTGCTGTATGTTCATGGTGAACTGGCTAATGTATTCAAGGTTGAGCTTGCCTCCGTAACTGGTTGAGCGCATATGTCAGCGGTTTATGATCGGTATAGATTATAAAATGCCGGCCCTCCAGCATATGTCGGTAGTATTTTATTGCTGTATAGATTGCCAGCAATTTCCGATTGTACAGACTGCACGTTTGACTGAGTTTTTTGCTCAGGAAGACTAATGGTTGCCATCTTTTTTAGTTTTTTGTTACAAGACTGCTGCTAATGTAATGTCGGAAGCATCTGTTGTGAGTGTTAGTTCCGCTTCCGGATCAGAATGTGCGAACAGAGTTGCTCTTGAAAGTTGCTGTTTTTGCATCTAGAGAATGCGTCTTCTAGTTCCGTCGTCCATTCGATCGGAGTTTTGCTTTTTGTCTTGGGTCCTCCAAGTACGTCGTTTAGTCTTGCTTGATCTTTTGCAGCTCCAGGGATGAAACGTCTATAAAAGTTTATAGTCCCCAAAAACTGTCTTAGTTGCTTTATTATTTTTGGTTTGGAAAGTTTTTGATAGCCTCCACTTTGTCCGGGAGTAGCTGTGTTACCTTACGCTGAAACCAGGTGTCTAAGGAATTTGACTTGATGTACTCCAAAAATTTTGCCACGTTTAATTGGATGCCATAATTTTCTATTCTCGTGAATATTTCTTTCTAAGGTGTTCCTTATGCTCCTCTTCTGAGTTCGAGGCGATTAATATATCATCGATATGCATAGCAATAGTCGAGGCCGTGTAGTATCTTGTTTATAAAACGCTGAAATGTCTGTGCAGCGTTTCTTAATTCGAAAGGCATGTATAGAAATCCGAATAGACTGAATGGCGTAATGAAAACCATCTTCGCTCTATCGTCTTCGTGTACTTCGTAGAATCTGATTGTATGCCCGGAAAATCTAATGTTGAGAAGACTTTCTTATCGTGTAGAGTATGGGCGAAATCTTTGTATGGAATCGGGAATATCGATCCGGAATGGTTCTTGTGTTTAAGCTTGCGGTAGTCTCTGCATGGTCTCCATGTTCCCCCTTTCTTAGGAGCGAGATGTAATGGGGATGACTATGGACTCTTTGAAGGCTGAATTATTCCCTTTTGAAGAAGTAAGTTGAATTTCACTTTTGCTATTTGTAGTTCATCTAGTACTAACTGTCTAGATCGACAAACTTCCAATTGACCCTGAGTGATCTTGATATGATGCACCATGGAGTGTTTCCATGAACTGTTCTCCTTGATTATGCGGGCGTTGATTGATAAAAACTTGGCCAAGATGTCGTGATATGACGTTTCTTTAATAATGGCCTTCATCGACTCTACTGAATTTACGGTAGGTGAACCTCTTTCGTTTTTCCATCAATCAGTTGCTTGTTCTTTCTGGTAACAGATGGCACTTCACTAGAAAGTCTGAACCGATGATAAGCTGTGTCACATCGGCTATGATGAACCGCCATAGGAAATTGCGGCGTAACCCGAAATCAGGTTGTAGCGTGATGTATCTGTATGTAGTGACCACGGATCGGTTTGCTGCGTACAGCTGGTGCGTTTTGTCTGCCTTGTGACGTGCGTCCGTGAATAGACGCTTAAATCGGAGCCTGTATCAATGAGGTACCTTATTTTAGAGGTACCATCTGTCATGAACAGGCGGCTGGTAGTGGTACTAGCCGCCTTTAATGACTACTCTCCTTGTTTTCCTGGAAATTGCAGGGTTTGGTGCACTTCTTTGCTTCGGTTCCGAATCGTCGATGATAGTAATAGACATTTTTCTAGGGGGTGTTTCTGCTGCGGCTTCGACTTCTGTTTCGCTCACGTTTCTTTACCTTCGTGAGCTTTGGTTAGTGAAGCAACTTGTTTTATTAATTCTTGGACTTGCATCTCCAAGATTTTTTAGAGTTGCTGCTTCCGCTGTGGTTGATGTAACAGCCATGACTACCCTGCTTGTGACTTCGTGAATCCTGTCTGCTTGATCGACTACCTCGGTTAGCCGGTCTTCGATCCTAGTTACTATTAGGCTTGCATCTGTAATGACAAGTGTGCGGAGTTGTCGATCAAATATGGTAGTGCCTACTAGTGTTTGTAGGTAACACAAAAACTGGGAAGATTTTCTATCTCCTAGTTTTTCGTGCTCTAGTAACTGCCTTATGCGCTGCTCTTGGAATGCCTCAGTATCAATGCTTGCTTCAACGTGAGGTATGTATCCTTGTCGGGTGAATTGGCTACCAGGTTCTTTACTTCACGAGCATGCGTGGCATCTAATTGGACTGCGTAGGCGTATTTAGTCTTGCGTTATTTCACTGAGTATGAATTTGCCCTTCTATTGCCTTTCTATTGCGAACCAGAGCTCAGGTTCTTCTAGCTGAAAAGGCGGGGGCTTAATTACGATCCGTTGTATGCTGAGGGAATTAATGGCTGCTTTCCCATCTGTTCCGTTTCCACTTTTCATTGTAAATCACGCAGGGTCATCAGTTTAGTGGTTCTAATATGGGAGCAAGTACGCTAATATGCGTGCTCTAGATTTCAACTTATATCGTCCTGATAAAGACGATGTGGTTGTATGTGTGAACGCAAGATCCACGTCTGAGGAATTTGAGCCGAGCCCTGAGAAAGGCTCGACAGCGACGGTTGCTTATCGTTAACGCCTGTGCCTGGATCGCCTCCGTTCACTTTTTGAGTATGACCGGTGTTGCTTGGGTCATTCCAAAGGCTGAGGGACATTGATATTGGATGTCCTGGTGTGCTTGGATCATTCCAAAGGCTGAGGGACGTTGATATTGGATGTCCTGGTGTGCGCTGTTGATCCTATCGTCTGCATTGCTCTGCGGTTCGTCAGGTTAAAGGTGATGCAATCCTGTTGGTCGAGTGCTCCGTGATATCCGGGAACCATTGATCTCACTAGGTCGGATACCTCGTAAGTGAGGACCACTGGCTGTTCGTCTTTTTCGTCTCTCATTCATTGAGGGGTTACTAAATAATCCCTCTAATCTCCTGATGTGCGTCCGAGTGGTGATTATGCCGACCTCAGAGAGAATCGTCTAAAATGCGATTCTAGGATATATATCGCTTGAGAACTTCTACAGTCGTTCCAACAACTGGGCGGAAAACTCAGAACTTATCTCGGGTCGCTTGTGGGCCTCTTTATACTACATGGGCTGAAAAGTCCCGGGATTTTTAATGAAAACAAGCGTTTTTTGGGCAAAGTTATATTTATTCCTCAACATAGTTGCCTTCGAGGGCGATACACTTGGTATAGCGATTTTCCAACATTTCGATGCCCTTTCTGTAGTACGAAACGTCCAAGCCTTCGAAATACGCCTCGGTTTCCGCGATGACTTCCTCATTCGATCTGAATCTCTTTCCCTGGAGTCACCGCTTGAGGTTTGGGAACAGATAATAGTCGCTGGGGGCCAAGTCTGGAGAATACGATGGGTGAGCAACCAATTCGAATCGTAATTGGTCCAATTTGGCCATCGCTTTCAAGGACGTGTGTGACGGTGCGTTATCGTGATGGTACAGAACTTTTTTCTTCGCCATATGGAGCCGTTTTTTCTTTATTTCGTCGTTCAGTTTGTCTAATAACGCTGCATAATACTCTCCTGTGACTGTTCTTCCCTTCTGCAGGTAATCGATGAAGATTATGCCATGCGCATCCCAAAAAACGGAGGCCATAACCTTCCCGGCCGAGCGTTGGTCTTTTGGCCGCTTTGGTCGGCTTTCGTGGCTTTCCAGCCACTCTGCAGACTGCCTATTGGACTCAGGCGTATGGTAATGGACCCACGTT